CAAGTGATATGATAACAACTAAATCTCCTAACCAACTATTCTACTAGGCGATTGGCCTAAAGATTTATTTCCTATTAATATTGCTAAAAATAAGACACCAAAAGTGATAATTTTTGAATTTGCATGCCAGTGCCTAAACTAACAGCCCAGCCTGGACCAGAAATTTTACAGGCCTATTTGAGGCAAATAAATTTGTCAAATTTGCCCCATACCCTCTATAATTGCATTGTTGAGAGACAAAATTATAATAATTATCATCAAGCCAGCCCCATCCCTTCCCATCTTCACATTCTCTCTCTCTCTCTCTCTCTCTCTCTCTCTCTCTCTCTCTCTCTCTCCATTTATATAGATAGACACATGCATGTATGTCTGCATCTATATCTATGTTAGTCCACTGTCCAGCTACATTAGGCAGCGTGGATTATTCCGGTTGGGGTTGTCATCTTGTAGGATGTATTCCTCTACTTTCTGTCTGAATTTATTATGAAACCTACTCTAATAATCTTTAAAAATTAATTAATTAATTGATAGGACTAATGTAATTACATAATTTATCATATTAACTCTTAGACGACAATCTTACTTGTAGATTATTATTTTTTGGGGGTAAATTATAAGCACATCCTCTTAGATTTGTTTAAAATACAAATTATTTCTTGTGATTTGAAAAATTATAAATATCTTCCTGTCAAAATTTTTTATTTAACAGAATTAATTGAAAAAGTGAAATTTCTAACTGTTCACCTATACAATAATAAAATTATTTGACTTATTAATTTAAATAAAATTTTAACATTACTAAAAACTGTTAATTAACTTGATGATTTATTATCAATAAAAGGACCTATTTATTAAAATAAAACTGTTATTAATAAAAGGACATATTTATTATGAAATTAAAAACTTTATAGGGCATAATGTAATTTTTAAAATCACAGGGATAATTTATAATTTAAGTAAATCTCAGAGTGTATTTATAATTTACCCATAACAATAACTATTAAAAATAAATGATTTACACATAATAATCTAAAAATAAATTGAAAAATTAATAGGACAAGTTCCGTTGATCAATCTTATGTACAATCATCTAAAAAATAAAGCAGAAATTAATTATTTCTTTCTCATCATGTGATTTTTGAAAAATGCTATAGATCCTAAATAAATTATTAAAATTTTGACTAAATCTTTTATATGAGTGTAAAATTCACACATATAAGACTCACACAAATCACATATGTGTGAATTTCACACTCATGTGAGAGATTTAATAGAAAATTTAATAATTTATTTGGTTTCCTAGCTAACTCATGACTTTTCTTTAGTTTTTTTTATGAAAATCTTTCTTGGCTTATGCAATGATTATTGGTATTGGGCTTGCTGTTATGTATAGTTAGCATTGTAGATATGTATTGTTAAAATTTTACTAAATAATTAATTATTCAATTTAACATAATTAGTTTTTGTGGGGATATAATTTTTGAATGACAACACGTGATCGAGGTGTCACCAAAGTACCAGCCGAGGTGCCACGTGTCCTGGTCATGACGCCCAGATGATCTCGGCTAAGCCGAGGTTATCTACGAAAAAACCAGAATTCGGAATAAGCAGATAAGGGACAAGAGTCCTAGAATAGAAGAGGACTTCCGTTTGGATAAAGATAAGACTCTTAGAGAGTTTATCCTAATCCTACTGGGAGTCCAAGATTAGCAGTAATCCTAAGTCCATTGGAGCTAGGCTTCTACTGGGATTAGGATTATGTTGGTTATAAAAGAGAGACACCCTCATGGGTCTAAGGTATGTCTTTTATGCTCTGTCTAGTAAATTAAGCACTATTGGTTATCTTTGTGAGATATTTTACTGACTTGATCGTCGGAGTGCCCCCGGGTGAATGAGCTACCGCTGGAATCTTCTCTTTCTGTTCCAGGTCAGACGGGTGCCATCTATTCTGCCAGTGCTCTCCAGCTGAATACTGAGTTACTAGTATGGTCAGAAAATCACTCACACAGTTTTATATTTATAAAAATATATATATTTCTCTTCTAATCAATAAAGCTTTTTATTGAAATGAAATAATAATAAACCGGTTAGGGGTGTTTTGAAAAAAATGGCTAAAAATTGACTTTTTAATTTTTTTTTGACTTTTTGATTTTTATTTTGTGAGGGAAAAAGTGAGTTAAAAATTAAGAAGTAACTTTTAACCTACTTCCCAAAATATTCATGAGTTAAGAATTCTACCCCAGTCATGTGTTTGGCTAATAAAAACAATATAGGGGGGGAACACAATATAAGTAATTATAATAATTTTATCAAGGGCAAATTAAATTAACAGTCCTTACAGTTTGAGACTTGTATCACTTTGGTCCCTAAATTTTCAATTATGACCTATTTGATTATGAATTTTGAATCTTGTTCTAAATAAGGACAATTAAAGATACCATTGCTTAATGTCAAGGGCAAATTCGTCAATTTGATAAAATATAAACTAATTTGACAAAAAAAAATTTTATAAAAATATATATTTCTCTTCTAATCAATAAAGTTTTTTATTGAAATGAAATAATAATAAACCGGTTAGGGGTGTTTTGAAAAAAAATGGCTAAAAATTGACTTTTTAATTTTTTTTGACTTTTTGATTTTTATTTTGTGAGGGAGAAAGTGAGTTAAAAATTAAGAAGTGACTTTTAACCTACTTCCCAAAATATTCATGAGTTAAGAATTCTACCCCAGTCATGTGTTTGGCTAATAAAAACAATATAGGGGGGGAACACAATATAAGTAATTATAATAATTTTATCAAGGGCAAATTAAATTAACAGTCCTTACAGTTTGAGACTTGTATCACTTTGGTTTCTAAATTTTCAATTATGACCTATTTGATTATGAATTTTGAATCTTGTTCTAAATAAGGACAATTAAAGATACCATTGCTTAATGTCAAGGGCAAATTCGTCAATTTGATAAAATATAAACTAATTTGACAAAAAAAAATGTCAAAAAAATATTTTTAAATTTTTAAAACTTATTTCTACCTACTAAAGATAAATTTAGGTAAAATTGATAAATCTTTTAGACATCTATTTATTTTTTGTTTACAAAATTAATTTTTATTATGTGTTTGGATAAAGATTATGTAATAGGCGGTTGTTTTTATTTTCATTAAATTAGTTTCTATTTTTTCAAAAGTTAAATATGACGACAATTTTAATATCATTATTAAACCAATTCATTAAGTCAAAAAATTCAAAACTAAAAATATTTCATATAAATCAATCGATTACACCTTAAAATTCTAACAATCATTTATTACATGATCATCATCTAAACACATAACAAAAATTATTTTGGTAAAAAAAAAATAATAATAAATGTCTAAAAGATTTATTAATTTTACATAATTTTATCTTTGGTGAGTATAAATAATTTTTAAAAATTTAAAAATATTTTTTTGACATTTATTTTTATCAAATTAGTTATTGATGAATTTGTCCTTAAAATTAAGCAATGACATCTTCAATTGTCCTTATTGGGAACAAGATTCAAAATTCAGGATCAAATGCATCAAAATTGAAAAGTCAGGGACCAAAGTAACATGTGCCTCAAATTATAGGGATTGTTAGTGTAATTTGTCATTTTATTAGTAACTATGGCATTATTTGGTTTGTGTTTTAAAATATTATTTTAAAAATAATTTTTTAGAAAGAGTTTAGAAAATTTAAAATTTTATTTGATTATATATTTTAAAAATAATTTTGAAATTTTGAATGATTTGATTTTTTTGTAGTTAAATAGATGAGTGTGAAATAAAAAATGATTGAGAAGGAGAGGGGAGAGAGAAAAAAATAATAATTAATTGATGTGTAATGTACAAAAGAGTGATTTAATTTTTTTTTTAAAATTTGTTTTTGAATTTTTTTCTTAAAAAATATATTTTGAGACATGACCTAAATAATACAAAAAGTCAAAAAGTCACTATCATATTTAAGTCACATCATCTTATTTAAATCACATCACCTCTCTAACACATCACATCAAACCAATCCAAATCCAACCCATATAAGCCAATAAGTCAAAAAATGTACTTTTTTAGAACATCCCAAACCAACCCCAAATATGCGCATATCACATTTCTTAAAATTTCATTAATTGAAGGCACCACAACAATATGATGAGATAAGGTGGTGTTTGGGAAGTTGATTATTTTAATAGAATAATTTAATTTTTTTTTTGACTATTTTAATAAGTTAAAATTTTTATGTTTAGGAAGGTGATTGGAAGTTTTTTTATAATTAGATATGATGTTTATTAAAAAAATATAAAATAATTATGAGTTTGATGTGATATTTTATCTTATTAATTATTTTAGTCTATTTTATTTTTGTATAAATTTTAACTCAAAAAATTTTAAAAATAATATTTACCAAACAAGGCCAATGTACATGATCTATTGAATAATTTCTCTATCGTTGGATTCATCTAACAAATGAAAACACCTTTCTCTCTCTCTCTCTCTCTCTCTCTCCTACTCCTCAACCACTCTCTCACTCTCCAAGTGTGCCTTTCTTTTGTTTTTTTTGAACGGCTGAATCACGCTTTCCTCATTCATTTCTTTTTTCTCTCTCGTACGTATCGCTCATCCATGTCCCCATTATCAGCCTCAGCGATACCCACGCTCTTCTCAAGCACGTGGGGCCGCCGTTCTTCGTCTATACATATGTCAGACACGTGGCAAACGATACTTCGGTCTCCTCCAGTCTGGAGCAGGAGAACATAGAAATCTTCAAACCACCCTCAATCTTTCACATGGCTGTACAAATGTACATGCATGTCCACACCTATAGTAACATGACTCTCCCGCAAATACAAATATACTCCTCAATTTTACACGTGTCCATTATTCACTCGCACCCACACCATACTATTTAAACCCCTTCGTAGCAGATTTCAATCCGACCCCACCCCTGCCACCAATAATTGATCATTCCCCCCTAATCCCCTCTGTATTCTTGCTGGCACCAGTCTCCTCCTCCTCCTCCTCCTCCTTCCCCCCTCCTCTCTCTCCAACTCCTTAAACCCTAGCTATACATACACAATTATACATACACCAACCATACCCACAATCCTCATATGATATAACCCACCTCTCTCTATCTCTCTCTGAAATTCTTCATCAGGTCACGGGGTCTCATATGCTCTAACACCAACAAAAACCCAACATGCTTCCCCAATTCTTGATACTGTTTCTGCTTTCAATTTCGACCCATCTCTTTGTTTCGGCCTCCGAACCATCGTCTATCTACGATGTCCTTCGATCCAATGGCCTGCCCATGGGTTTGCTCCCAAACGGTGTCAAAGACTTCAGCTTGGACGAAGCAGGGAGGTTCGTGGCCTATTTGGATCAAGAATGCAATGCCAAGTTCGAGAATGAATTGCACTACGATCGCAACGTTTCGGGCACTCTCTCATACGGTCAGATCGCGGGACTCTCTGGAATTTCGGCTCAAGATTTGTTTCTTTGGTTCCCTGTGAAGGAAATTCGGGTCGATGTACCGAGCTCTGGGTTGATTTACTTCGATGTTGGGGTTGTGTATAAGCAATTCTCTTTGTCTTTGTTCGAATCGCCAAGGGATTGTATGGCTCTGCTTCACCCGGATCTTCAGGGTGGAAGTTTCATTGCCCAAACTGTGCCTAAGGTGCTCTGCTTTTTCCTTTCTTTCATTTCCCAGTTCACTGTTTGCAGATTGTAGGTTGTGTTGAATATTTTCAGTGTCTTGATTATTGATGTTGATGAGGTAATTGACTAGGAACTGGGTTTTGTTTTCTTGATTGAATTATGGGGTTGTGATTTGCATGGTTCTGAAGGATTCCATAGTTTACTAGAAATTTGTTCAAATGTGTGTTTGTTGGGGTTTGTCTATCCATCTATATATCTATATATATATATATGTATATGTATTTATGTTATAATTTGAAAATGTGGGTTTGAGGTTTCATACTGAGGAATTCTCAATGGTGAGGTAATTCCTGAAAAAAATGATATCTTTAAAATTCGTTTTGGTTTAAAATTCTTAGTTTGAGATTTAACAATGTGATATTTGGAGGATGAAGTCATTCATTAGTACATTTTCTGTCTTGTTAACTTTTGCTCAAATTTTGGGTGCACGAGCACAAGAATTTATGGCTTATTCAGTTTTGTAGTTCTTGTTCAATTGAGTTTGTAACTTTGATTTTGTTTATTTTACTACTACTGAAACCTGTGGCTTTATAATGAGACTAATCTGGTTTGCTGCTTGCTTACAGGGTCTATATGCCAAGCTTCGATATCTACTCGATCGGGTGATTTCGTGAGTGCTGTTTTGTAGGTTGGGAAGGCGAGGATGATTAAATTTGTGCAATAGCTCAATCACTACATGGGTTTTCCCTTCGATATGTGTACATGTCTTTGGAGAGTCTGGTAGCAGGTCCTATGCTTCATTTCAGTGTGCTTGCTTGCGGTTTTGTTTAGTGCAGAGTCTGCAAATTAGCCATGCCAGCTCCTGTCAACATAAGGATGTCGGTGAATGGGATTGAGAGGATGGGTTTGCAGAAAGGGTATATGGAAGTGTCATTTGGTTTCTTTTAAATACAGAAAATAGAATGAGACAGGAGCATTGGGTCAAATTGGTTTCAGGTGACAAATCTGCAAAGTTCTGTTTGTATGTTGGTTTCATTATAAATATGAACATAAATATGGTTGCAAGTCTTCTTCTTTTTTCTTTTTTTTCCTTTTTTTTTTTTTTTGGTAGTATATGCATTAGTTGATGAGGTATACATACTTCCATGTTGGGAAAATAATAAATAAAATGGGTTTCTTTAATTATTTGAATTCTGTGCCATTCACCTAGTGTTATGTTGGTTTGAATTCTGTGTTATGTTGTTTGGTGGGGAAAAGATGAACAAAGAAAGAAAGAAAGGGGAAAAAATGGAGTTATAAAAGACTCTTTTTGTTTTGGTTTTGCAATATTGGATAACTTACTCGTGCAGTTTTATTGCTATATTCAATTTCGAACCTCGCAATATTTTGTTCTCCTTATCAAACTGGTTATGCACTGAAGACGAAAGCAATTTTTGGTCTTCTCAAGTCAATTAGCTGGTGTATTTTGGTTCTTAAACCATTGGTTTGTATCTACCCAGCTCAACAATGTCTTATCCGAACTCTTGGCGTTAATTACATGAATCTATTTTGCTATTCTGCTAGATCAAGGAGCATATATAATTTCAATTAAATCAAATGCTATCATATATTTCCTTACTACGTCAAAGCCATGTTAAATTTGGCCAGCCTTGTTTGGTAGTGTTGCCCTCAATGTGGACAATGTCACTGTTTCCTTGTTGGTACAATTATTGTTGATCTTCATTGGTTTTATGGAGTATTCTTTTTACTTTCCTTTTTTTGTAGAGGTGAATTAAGACAAACTTGTTACTGAGAATATTATAGAAATAGGTTTGCACCAGGATAGTGTTTTCTCTTCTGTGAATGCTAATGCTATGCACCTTGTTTAGTAAGCGTTGTTATATACTGATATGTGATGACAAATATGGCAATATAACCAAAGTTGTATTGTGTTCCATGTGTCGGGGATATAAATTATGCTGGGAACCTTTCGATAGGGATAGAACTAGCAGTATTGGGGCCACAATGTGTTTTCTTAGGTGCATGATTCAACTCATAATGAATTTAATCCACCCAACGTGGCAATTCTTTGGCTTGGATAATCATCCAACTGGCCCTATTAACCTCGTATGAAATCTTGGTTGGGGAGATTAAGCTATGAAGGTCACATACCTAAACCCAACCAAAAGAAAGTTTATGCCAAAGGTTTAAACTTCCTGCATTCTTGCATTTGAAATATTTATCCACTCGTGGCCTTCAAAATATACTGTTGCACTTTCTTTTAACATAAATCAGACCTATATGGGGCTCCGAGAAATTGATGCCATTCACTTTGAATCGTTGTTTCTCTCTGGTGTAATCCTTCCACCATCTGGCTATAAGAATTTGTTGTTAGGGGATCTAATTCGACTGTTGAACTCATCTATCCTAGTTACGACACAAGAAATTATTTAATAATTTCGGAATACTGCATGGTCATATTCCAAATCAATCATTAATTACTTAGTTTCATGTTGTTTCCTCATCTCAACATAAATCGTGAGTCCCTACCTCTCTCTACCAATTAAAATTTTATAAATCACCACGTGTCTATACTCTGAGAATACTGAATAATCACCTTTTAGGACACAGGTCGTGCATGAATATATTACATGATGTTTTTGGTGAATATTAGAGCACCATCATGGACAATGGGGAACCAGGTGATTAGTCTAGGCGCATTTACAGGGTGAAAGTATGCTTACAAATTAAAATATGTTTCAAGGCTAATGGTCAGTTGTATTAATATAATATCAAATTTTTGTTGACGGATTAGGTGGGAAAAAACTATTAATCTTCGTATTTGAAAACCAATATATGTCGATATCAGTGTTATGTCACGGTGTTTCAACATAACGACACCTGGGGTTTTATTAGCTGAGATGGGCATCAAATTGGTTTGTTATTTGGTAGCTTTACCTACTGATAGTAATATTTGTTGAATCCCTTTTATTAAATTGATATGGTCGTACTTGTTTGTTATTAGGGCATTTCATTTTCATTTGCTTTCTGCAAATAGATGCTGGAAATGAAAGCGACGTGCTACCTTCAAACTTTTTAGTCCTGCTTTTGGAAAAAAGATTAAAAAAAACCCAGTTCATTTGAGCTTGATGTAATAATCAAGAGCCACCAATCAACTGAGTTGTCTCAGTTCACTGTTGTATAAAAATTTACTAGCGAGTCTCCTATGCACTATATAAAATATATTATTTATTAAAAATACGGTAATTATATTTAATTTTTTTTTATTTTATATTTTGTCTCTTATAAATAAAATTTTATATATAATATTAAAATTATATTTTGTTATAAAAAAATGATATAGTTTTAATATTTTACTATTTTAGAATAAAAATATATGAATTTTAAAAATCGTTCATATTAGCTTTTAAAAGGGAAATAATTAAAACTTAATCAGTAAGAAAGAATCATCGTAATATGTAAAATCGCTAAAATTACGGTTAAACCAACAAATCATTCAAACAAAAAATGGTTTAATTTAATCAGTTGGGTCAAAAGACTAACCAACTTACACACAAATTAATTAATTAAAACTTCTAAATTTTATTTTATTAAAATTTAAATTGTCACTAAAATATAGAAAACAATCTATTAATTTAAATTTAAAATTGACACAATATAAATTTAAAATTATAATAATTTATCCCATCATTTATAAGTTTAAAATTCAAATTTAAAATTATCATAATTATCTTATAATTTTTGTATTAAGGAGCAGTAAGCGTGACGTTGAGATTATCAACATATTTATATATTTTACAAAAGAATAATTTTAAGGAGAGATATTATCAGAGTTTCAAAAGCTCATACAAAATTATTTTTAAAATCAAAACCTCTATGTGAGATTATAAAATAAAAGTTAAATGGAAGTTAACCAATGTGGATTTTCTTAATTGTTTAAAATTAAGAAAATCAAAAAAATTAATATGAGATATTATAATTATATTATAATTTTTATATTAAGGAGCAGTAAGCGTGACGTTGAGATTATCAACATATTTATATATTTTACAAAAGAATAATTTTAAAGAGAGATATTATCAGAGTTTCAAAAACTCATGCAAAATTATTTTTAAAATCAAAACCTCTATGTGAGATTATAAAATAAAAGTTAAATGGAAGCTAACCAATGTAGATTTTTTTAATTGTTTAAAATTAAGAAAATCAAAAAAATCAATATGAGATATTGATCATAAGGCTTCTCATTAAAAATATCATTTTGCTTATATAAATGGAAGCTAGCCAATGAAAATTTTCTTAATTATTTCAAATTAAGAAAATTCAATATTTTTAGAATGAGAATTTAGAACGCCTATAAGGCTTTTGTCTAAAAATCTTATTTTCTTTATAATATATATATAGAAGGGTTTATAATTTAAAGTGATGGACTTATATGGTGGTGCTTGATGTTCAAAAGTTTAAAATCAAATGAATGTATTATTTTTTGTCTTTTTACGAAAAGATGTGTAAAAAAATAGAGAAGTGATGTGATGAAAAAAAGATAAAAAGATAAAAAAAATAGATTATTTTAAGGATGTCAAACTTGGCCTTAGTAATCACAATTCATATTATTTAAAAATATAAGTAACACTAAATATATAAGTTAAAAATTGAAAATAAAAAAAGTGTTACTATTAGTACCTCATCAATTATTTTGGATCCTTTATTTTTTAGGCCATCACTTTTAAATTTTAAAACCCTTAAAAAAAATTTCATCCCCCAAATAATGTCAAAATTATCCTTATAAAAACATTCCACCAATTCAAATGCACACCCCCGCATCCCAAAAAGCCTTTCTCTCAAAATCCTAACAAAACCCATGACAGTAGAATCTCCCAAAATCAATAGAAAAAATTTATGGTGATTAAGAAGTTTTTTCATTACTTCATTACAAGATTTATTAATTTGTTTGATTTTTTTTTCTATTACCTTTTTTCGTACACACAACACAATCTACTTCCATGTTTCTCTAGTTCATTTTCTATGATTCATCTATGGCCTCACTATACTTATATGTTCTCTCTATGAGCAAAACTGGGAAGGATTTCACCCTTCGGTTGACCTCTCGATCAACTGGTCGATCAACTATCCAAGGGTGGTTCGACCTCCTATGTTTGTCTGTTTTTGCTGCTGCTGCTTCGGTTAGCTATTCCCGAATAAATAAAAAATGTTTGGTTACCTATTTCTAAACAAATAAACAATGTTCAAACCTGTGTTCCTGAATTTTGATCATATGTTCGAAAGTTCAGTCTCGAAAAAATGGCAAACAATTTTTATTATTTTTGTTATTTTTTTTTCAAAAAACTTACCCTTACAAGGCCAATCTCCTCTGAGTTAAGAATACCATCAAAGTTATGAATCTCTTTTGAGTTTTTGTTGTTGTACTCCTTTGGTCTCGTGGAGTTGTAGTTGTCGGAATATTACTGCCAAAAGGTTTTTAAGGTTTTGAGAGTGGGTATGTTTTGAAGGTGGGATTTAGTATAGATGGATGGTGGTGATGGAGGCGGGTGGTCTCATAAACCCTAACTCATGATGTAGTGAGTGTATATTTAATTATGAGATAGAGTATCCTAAAATTTTTGATGTCATTATTAATAATTTTATTTAAGGTTATTATTGTAATAAAAAAAAAACTAAAAAATAAAAGGTCTAAAATAATTAATAAAATATTAATAGCAACACTCAATAAAAATTCAATAATAACATTTTTTTTATACTTAAATATTAGGCCAAGTTTGGGAAGACTAAATAAGTGCACTTTTTGACTTTTTATGAAATATGGGTTGGATTTAGGTTGGGTTTGAAGTGATGTGTTAAAGAGGTAATGTGACTTAAATAAGATGATGTGACTTAAATAGGATAGTGACTTTTTGACTTTTTAAATTTTTTAAAAGATGCCAAACTTGACCTTAATGTGAACCGTTATAGCTTCACCATCACCACCACCTCCTTCAATCAGACACGAAGGTTAATCTGTGAATCATTGTCCTTTCTTTCTTTCTCTCATTTATATAATAATAATAATAATAATAATAATAAAGTTCAAGCTCCATCCAAACCGGCAAAAATGAACAATTTTGTGTAAGAGCATCCACAATAGATACATTAGTGAGTGTGTTAGTGTCAGGTGTTAATTTTTGATCAATCCAAAA